GGAAGACTGAACCAGCGAACTGAGAAATCACTCCCCCCCACCCCAGGAATAGATCGGCCCGGCGCGGAGGGCGCCCCGGTACAGGGTTTCCGCAGGGTCCCGGCACCTCCTACTCCACGCTGGACACGGGTGGGGGGCGTGCCCACGGAACCCACAGACGAGACTGCCACATCCAACCCGCTTTATTGGAGATGGGCTCCGGCTGGGGTGATCACAGATCCCGCACTGGCACCACGGGGCAGGCAGCGACACTGCACTGGGCTGCTTGTCCTGTTCAGGTACAGGGTTTCCGCAGGGTCCCGGCACCTCCTACTCCACGCTGGACACGGGTGGGGGGCGTGCCCACGGAACCCACAGACGAGACTGCCACATCCAACCCGCTTTATTGGAGATGGGCTCCGGCTGGGGTGATCACAGATCCCGCACTGGCACCACGGGGCAGGCAGCGACACTGCACTGGGCTGCTTGTCCTGTTCAGCTCCCAGCCTGGCTGGAGGTAGCACTACGCCCGCAGGGGGCAGGAGGCCATAGGCCCCCCCCAGCTCTCTGCACTGATGGTAGGCACGTGGTTGCACTCCTGGCTGAAGATAGGGTCCAGGGTGGCAGGGGTAGGGGTGGCAGTGCCATGTCTGTGCTGATAGCAGGCACGGTGCACCCCCAGCCCGAGTCAGAGCCCGGGGTAGCAGCGCAGAGCTGTGCCCCCCCACCATCACCAGGTGTCTTCTACAGTTGCACCCCTCGGCAGGCAGGAATCGTAGGTGTTACGGAGCCAAGTCCTCCTCCGCCAGCCCTGCTGATCAGGCCAGTCAGGCTGGCACTTCCTCGGCTGAGGACACCAGCCTCAGAGAGCGTTTCTGAGCAATGTCTCCAAACACTGAGGACAGGGAAGAGGAGCAGGGAAGGTGCTTTCCAGCGAGAGCCGCGGCGAAGGGAGAGGCAGCGGCATCACTTCTCCGGCTTCTTCGGCAGCGGGCGGCGGAACAGCAGGATGTGCGGCTCTGCGGGGAGAAGCGGCATCAGGACCGCACGGAAATGACACGTAGACCACACGGGGCAGCCTCTTGCTGCCCGGCATCTGCCCGCCTGCCCACGGAGGAGACGCCTGAGCCCAGCCATGGACAGAGCCAGGCAAATGGACATGGAGCACCTGGCCCAGCCCACCCCAGTGGCTCACCAGGCTCGTGGATCATGTAGTGCACCCAGCCCTGGCTCTGCTGCACACCCAGGTTGCGCCACTCTGACTCCGACATCAGGTGCGTCCGGGGCACCAGCTTCGCGATGTCCTTGGGCAGCATCACGTGCCTGCAACGGGAGCCACAGCGTCGTCACGGCGCGCTCGCACCTGGCCCGGACCCCAAGAGAGGGGCCGAAGGCGTCATCACCGCGCACCAGAACTTTGCAGGGGTCGCAGACCACGGGAGGGGGGAGGGCAGTTGGCGTCATCACTATGCGCCGGCACCGAGCAGGGATCAAAGACACCAGGAAAAGGGATGATGGCGCCATCACCACGCGCCGGCACCGAATAGGGGTGGGGTATACAGCCCAGGAGAGGGGGTGATGGTGTCACGGGGTCGGGGAGCCCAGGAAAGGGGGTGATGGCATCATCCCCGCGCGCCAGCAGCGGGCGCAAACCCCGGCGGGGGAAGGGGACGGCCGCCTGCTCTCACCGGTACTCGAACTCCTCGTCGTCGTACTTATCCGAGTAGTAGATCTGCTTGTGCGCCATGCTGGCCTGCGGGTCCACCCCCTTCCCGGCAGCCCTCGCGCGCCCGGCAGTTGCAGGTGGGCCCCGCCCCCAACCGCCGCTTTCAAACGCCGCCGCCCCGCGCCACC